GTCGGTGGCGGTGTCGGTGTCAGTGTCGGGGTCGGGGTCGGGTCGAGAATATGTTTCGAATTTTTCGTTGGAAAATTCTAACGGAATGCGGTTGAAAATTCCATATCGGTTGGAATTTCCGTTGGAATTTTCCAACCGAAATTGCGGTTGGAAATCCATTGGAAAATTCCAACGGATGCCGGTTGGAAATCCGTTGGAAATTTCCAACGGAAAAATTCGTTGCAATTCCGTTGAAAATTCCAACGGTTTTTCAACGGACAACGACGAAATTTCAATGGATAAATCCGTTGGAAACGTTAATTTCCAACGGAAATTTGGCCATTTCCAACGGATTTACCCGTTGGAAATAACCATTTTTTTTGTAGTGCTCCAACATATATCTAAACGTTACAAACAATGTAGAAAAATCATGAAAACATGTTGTATTAGTTAGACACGTCGCTTAACATTATATTATAGACATGGATCGAATTTTAAATAAAATTACTAACGGGAAAATAGGTTTTGGTCCGACTTATTCTAATCGAGAATGTATTACCACAACGACTCGATTCAAAATCTGACTCTCTGTTCTTTCTTTTTATTGAATAAAATTATAATATTTGAACGAATTTTTTCATGAATCAATTACGAGATTAATTTCACCAAATACTATGTATTAAATTTATATAAAAAAATATTTTTTAATATTCGCCGAATCGTCTAGGTTTAATTTAGGTGAAAGAAGTAAGAAAAGAGAGTTAGAATTGGAGGGCCTAAAATAAAAGGTGTGTGTTGGGGCCATCACTATTTCTTGCAATGCAAAAATACCTTACTTTTGCGGTATGCAATGTGTGTGTGTGTATATATATATATATATAAAGTAATTAAATTAAATAAATAGAATTTTGAAGGGTTGTCCTGATAGGAGACAAAAGTTTCAGCAAGAGACCTATCTTCTTCATTACTTGGGTGTCATGTCACGTTATGTTATGTTATGTCATGTCATGTGTGGTCCCAATCATTATATTTATCTTATATATTTTAATTTTAAATTTCAAAGTATAAGGAATCCTGGTTAGGTTGCATGGTTCTTCCCACCCACTGCGACTCTGCTCATCTCCTTCCCATGTTTAGATCCCATCGCATTTATTTCATCGGGTAATATTTTTTTATTATAAAAAATGTACACTAAGTGGATATAAATTTTCAACAAATTTTGGATATCCTATCGTTGGCGAGGCAAATTTGATGGTAAATTATTTGTGAAGACGATTTCAAGTACACATATTTTTGTTTTATCCACACAAATATATATTACGTATATTAAAAATACGAAAATATTTTAGTTATTTTGCAAGACTACGAGATGAATTTAGGTTTAAGATTTATTATTTCATAAATTTGAATTTGTATTTATTTTATAATTGGTTTTAAAATTTGTTTATTACTTGAATGCATATTAGAGTAATTTATAGAGGAGAGGTTAATAAAATATTTGGAATTAAAATTAACGATAGGGCAGAGAATTTATGCGCCCATGAGATCGTTTACCTAAACAACTGATTACAGTTGTGACTGTGATTGAAGACATAACACCCACCACCGTGATTCTTCTTTCATTTATGTAACAAAATTTTATTACCAGATGCCATCTAGGAGCATCTTTCGCATTTTGTAAACGCCATTAGTTACCCTTTTATTATATATGCCGCAAAAATCATTCTCAAGTATTCTTTATATATAAAAGAGTAGCGAGAGACATGAACAAGACACACACATGAAGACCCCAAAGTAAGGACCACCGATGTCTCAGAGTCACCAAAGACCAGTGGAGAAAGTTGAGACCAGAGCCTCTCGGTCGGAGGAGGAGCAACAGTGGCCGGTAGAAAGATACGAGGCCGTAATGACAGACAAATAAAACAAGGGAGAGCGAGCAAAAGATAATATATGTAAAGAGAATGCAAGTTTTTCTTTTACCTATGATTCATCCCCGAGGAGGTGAGCTCCCGCTGCTGCTGCTGCTGCTGCTGTTGCTTCTTCTTCTTCCTCCTCTCAATGGCCTATTATATATATCGAAATGATCAGATTCCGAAGCAAAAACATCAAGAAGTTCAGTTGTGTCTTCTGTGGCACCACCGTAAATGTTTTGCGCAAAGCCAGCCACTGGGTAAAGCTTGAATAAGCTCCGAGGCTTCAGCTTCCGCCATGGAACCTAGGCTAGGCTAAGTCTACGAACAGGGTGTTACCAGTTACCACAGGACCTACCGTACCGAAACTAAACAGGGTGTTGTCTCTTCCTACACATGTATTATGCAGAAGTTTGATCTAGTTTAGAGGAGCCCCCAAAGTTCCAGTATATATATTATTGTACTTTTGACAACCAAACCATTTCGAAGAAAAAGATCAATCAAAAGAGATTACCTCCTAGGACTGCGGCTCCTTGATATCCTCCTGGGAGCCTGCAAGTTTTTCGATGGAAAACAAAAGCTGGAACTGTCAATACTATAATTAGATAAGGTACCAAACCAGTTGGCGAGGAAAGGGAACTGGAACAAACCCTGCGGGGACTAGGTGAACTAGAGGAGGAAGGTGACCTCCCACGTCTCCCAGCCGGACCTCGGCCCCTGTTTTCCAGCAAAAAACCCCAAATTATACACTGACATCAATGTCAATTGCGAAAGATGTAAAATATAAAAGAAACAACAGGCATCCATCATCACTCAAGTCACATCCATATTCATCCAGTTTACAGGTAAAGGAATGCTACTGCAGATCCTATGGTAGATAAGGAAACTATCACGTCTCAGGGCATAAAATATATTCATTAGAAATGGGGTGCCCGACTTTGAACCCTAGAAGAATCCGACGATGGGTACCCACAGATATGGTTCTCGCTGACCGACAACCGAACCTAAACCCAAAGGTCTGGTTCTCACAGTCCAGGACCCATACTCGTCCCCGCCTGTGGACGAGTAACTGAAAATCGCATACCCGACTCCTGGATCAGGTCAAGTATCCGATTTTTAGATATATTTGCTCAGCCTTGATATTTGTGACAGACGCGAGGCTTACATGTCAGGAGTCTCAGATTTTGATCACACAACGATCCAACATAGTAAAGGTAAAGAGCACGGAAAAGTTCTGAGTGTATCAAATATACCTCCGAGGTGAGATTGACCTTGAGCGAGAATGGGCAGGTCTACGGATGGGCGATCGGCTACGCCTTCGGATCGGAGATCTTCTAAGAGGACTGCGGATTCGCCTAGGAGGTGACCTGTATGCATGCATCATTCAATATATAACCCAGAATTTCACACTAATAGAATGGCCGAATGTAAAAATGGTTAATGGCTTCAGATTCTACAGGATATAAAAGTTGCAATTCTCCATCATTGAGATACTAAGCCTTATGACATAGAAACTGCAATTACCTGCGCCTTAGAGGCAGAGGAGAACGTCTTCTAACAGGACTGCCACGTATCCTTCGGGGGGAGCCCCTACTTTTCAATGACAGGTGCCTTAGTAATTCTAAAAGTTTCTTACAAGCACTAGGCAATGAGAACAGAGGGTCATAAGCTAACCTTGGAGGAGGAGACCTATACCGCCTTGGAGGAGAAGTCGGAGAACGGCCTCTAGATGGGGATGCTGGCCTGCGTCTTGGTGGTGTATCACCACGACGGTTGGGAGATTCACCTCTACGACGGATAGGAGACTCCAACCTTCGTCGAGGAGGAGAATCACCTCTCTTAGGCACAGGTGACCGCCTTCTTGGAGAAGTCAGAGGTTTTCGTGAAGGAGAAGCTAAATGTATATAAAAGACAACAGTTCAGAAAAACATAACATATAACTTGAACAGGAAAACACGTAAAAAAATCACTGAAACATGATAATACCTTCCCTCACACGTTTAGGCTCATCTTTCTCACTGTCAGCGCCAGCATTATCAGATCTCGGAGCATCTCTTTTTGGTGCACTTGAAACGGGTTTAGGGGGAGGAGATACTTTCTTACGAGGAGGCAGCGTGAACTTGGCTTTAACAACATTTCCATCGATTTGGGCCTTCATTATGCAAACAACAAGTTTAAAAGAAAACATCTCAGCCTAAATTTTAAGTAGAACCATATTAAAACGTCGTAAGAGAGTAACATACACCATCCATGTGCAGTTGCGCCTTCTCAGCATCAGCTCTTGCCTTGAATTCAACATATGCATATCCTTTTGGTAGATTAAACTGTTTTAATGTCAGAAAATATTATGAGTGGAGTAATAGAAGAATTAGAATTAAAAAATTGTTGAGACCAAAGGGTAAGAACTTACAGCCCGATCCATCGCAAGCTCCACATGCACTACTTCACCAAAGTTGCCTACATACCAGGACACAAACAATTACATTCGGTCTACATGCAATCAAATAAAAGATGAAATTCGAGCTATCTGGTCATTTTTTTGGAATACAGCTACTGCACAACCTAATCAAACAAGCATAAGAAGGAATAAAAGAGCAGGCAGCATACTGAATATTTCTTTCAGATGGCCTTCATTCACATTCCGGCTGAGCGAGTCGATATGAAGAACAAGAGACTCCCGCATAGGTGAAGCTTTCCTGAAACAGTAAATGACAAAACAAAGAAGTTAAGGAAAAGAAGCTACCACCACAGAGGAAGCCATGAACAACGGGACTCTGAAAGTAATAATACATACGTGCGAATTGTAAACAGAATACAGATCATCTAAAAAAAGAACAATTCTCTTCTGCAAATGCATTTTGTTCATGCGAAATCAGCCTTAAGTAGCAACAAGGAACTAAAAAATTCCAAGCTAGTGAATCAATACATGAATACACGGTAATTACATGCTTGAATGGATGTGTATGAGTTAGGAGTATAGAAGATTACCTTGGCGGTGGAGAGGCTCGTTTAGAATGTGGAGGCGGAGAGCGACCTCGTCTAGCAGGTCCTGAAGGGCTGCAGAAATATGAAGCATGAAGTCCGAACACATGCGAATAACCACAACCTCGCATGGAAGTGAACCAGAGCAAGCATTGTTTCTCAAAAATAGGAGAACATATACTCCGTAAACCACAAGCACATACATTGAAAAGGGAACAATGCCGATATTTCATTTTCAGAATTCCAAATTTCAACTAATGTGATAAATTTCGAAAAGCCACCAGATATCAAACAGGAGGAATGAAACCCTAACTCGAACAAGAAACCAAATTCGGCACCAAACCCACTTCCTATTTGTCCAAATAACCTAATTCAAACCCAAATTACACTTCGAACCGAGTCGGAAAATTCAGAAAGAATCACTAACCTTCTTCGACGAGGTGTAGGACTGCGGCTTCCGGACCTTACGCTCCGCGAAGGAGAAGAAGACGAAGAGGCCGATCTAGAACGGGAGCGGGAACGCGAGAGAGACCTCGACGGGCTGGAACCAGAGCGGGAACGAGATCTGGACCTGGAATTCGACCGCGACAGAGAACGAGAGGACGAACCCGGACCAGAGACGGACGGAGAGCGACGTCCACTACTCGGCTTCGCCATGGGAGGAAATCGACGAGATTGAAGCTGAAGCCCCCAAGTGAAACGAAACCCCTGCACAAAACCCTAACGGATAAAAGAACGTGAGAGAGACTTGTGGGACCGTGGGAAGGTGCAAAAGGAGATAGCTCGGCTCGAGCCCGACCGATTCCAACCGCGGGAATGTAAAATGAATCCGCTCCCAAGATAAACATAAATATTTATACACAAATAATTATTGGATTTTATAATATTTAGATTTCCATTTTTAAAAAATATATATAATATAAAATTTGTAACTAATGTAATAGAACTGGGCACGGGTCGGATACCCACATTTTTTAAAATATCCGTCTTCGTTTTCGTCTTTGCAAGTTTTAGAGAAATATTATCTCTATCTCTATCTCACAATATCCGAATAACCGTCCAACGGATATCCACAATTAAAAGACGGGTATCCGCGAGTACCCGTATCCATATATAAAATATTAAACAATATAAAATTAAACCAAATAATTAATAAAAATATACATATTTTAGTCCAGAAACACATTTATATGTTTGAAAATTCTTAAAATATAACAATATGCATAAAAACTTAGAAAATTTTCGAAAATACAAAATAATTTTAATTTAAATTTACCAAAATTTGAAAATCCAATGTATAATCCTCAAAGAAAGTAGAATTAACCTAAGTATTTTGGTAATTATATTAAGAATATAAAGATAATTTTGTAATTTTAATAAATATACGGGTATCCGTGGGTACCCGTTATTTCAATATGTGAAACCCAAATCCGAATCCGTATGACGGGTATTCCACTTTTTAATACTCATTTTCGTCGTGTCGAGTGCCCGTTTTCGGATACCCACGAGATCAGATACCCCTATATTCGCGGATAACGAGTTTAAATGTCAACCCTATGATCTAATACAAATGTAAATAAAAAAAGTTCACCAATTCAATACAAGAAAATATGACGTCAAATTCTATATATAAGCAATAAAACACCATTTTGATCTTAAATATCATTTTTTTTATCTTAATCACCTATATAAAAAAATATTAAAATACAAACAAACATTTTGAAACCTCATTTTCTTAAACTTCGTTTTTTCACATTACTCTCTATATTACCTCCGTGATCTAACATAAAAAAATAACAGATAGATTTATATCTTATCTATTTACATATATTATTGTTTTACTATTAAAAAATATTAAGAATGGAACTTTTAAGTCGAATTCGTTCTAAAAGTCATATATTATCCAATTTAAGTATATGTTCATATATGTATATATTGGAATTTATAAATGATATTAATACCGACAATTTCCCTCTTATATAACATATGAGAGGCAATCCACCAACTTTTGAATGAATCTTTAAAATCAAAAGAAATGTTGGCTCATGATCATCCACTTATAATTTTTAATGTATCAATCTAAATAAATATAATTTTGTTGCATGCGGGCATGATCGGATTTGAACATATTACATATCTAGATATACTATTCTGTATTTTGTAATAACAAATAATTGGATATAGTATGTGCTGTTATATAAAAATCATTCAATTCAATGAATCAATATCAAATCACATATATAAATGATATTGAAATCTAGGTTATTAATATGTGATAATTCATGAAAACCACATAAAAAACACGTTTGTACGATAAATCAAACCATTTCATATTATATCCTCATGAGACCCAACCCTAAGACACCATTGAACAATATTTCCATTCATCAAACATGAAAATATCAACGTATAAAGGATTTTTAAAAAAATCAATGAATACATATGTTGTTATTTAAAATCTGTTAATTACCACAAATATCATATATTATGTAGGAAATATTCTCCTTCTGTTGTTTTTATGTCTTATTTTAAGGTTAAAAAATATGGATTTCGATCAGTTCCATTGTGTTATTTTTAGATTTTAATTTTCAAACTTTTTAAAAATTATGTATTCAGTTTGTACATAATTTTTATTGATTAAAATTTGATATTTATTTTAGAAACAATTAATATTTTAAATTCATCGTTATAATTATGTAAGTTATTTAACTACTTTAAATTCCACTGTTAGTTTATTAAAAAATTCTTATATAATGATTTTAAGTCATTTAAATATAATTAAATATTATTATTTGGTAATGGGTAGGGTAACTATGAAAAAAAGAAGGGGTTTGCAATCACGGCTCGGACACGTGTCCCTTCAGAAAATCAGTAAAAGAAGTTCCAACTTTAAAAAATCAAAATTTAAATGTGTCTGATTAGTTCATTTGCTTTATTTTGGTTTGGTTGTTTCTTTTTGAAAAAATAAATATTCATTAGAAAAAAATCACCTAAAAAAACGGTATTGCGTTGGAGTTTTTAGAATTCAAAAACTAAAAAAATTATCATTTACTTTTCCTAAAAATTTAAGTCATTTTAGTGAAAAAAATTAATGAAAAACTAAAAACTATTTTTTTGAGTTTTCAAGTATTATAGAATCCAAAAACCAAAAATCAAAAACTAAAACAAAAAAAAACCCAAAATAAAAGCTATCCCCCTTCAAACATGTATACTTTTTTGAAATAGTTTAAAACAAAAAAAAAAGTATATGTTTCAAATTTATATTTCTGTTTGCACATTTCTCTAATAATAAAGTACATTGTGAATTTGTGATGTTTCTATATATTGTATTCAAAGTATCTCAAATACTATTTATAGACAACAATAATTTCATTAAAATTGATTGAATTTCACCTGAAATTTTGATTTATAACATAATGCTGCTTATCCCGCGTGTAATTTAAAATATATTTATACCTTTAAATAGAACAATTAATATTATTTTATACATTACTGTACACAACATAAACAACCAAATAGTTATTTCACTCATTTGCATCATATAATATAATGTCCTTACCAACACTACCACACCAACCACTACTCAAATACAGAACAAAAATTATCACTATATATAATATATCCGATTTCGATTTGTTTTTCATTCGATTATATTTTTATTCATATTTTCATAGAAAACATTTATTGAACTTTGTTAAGTTTGATTTCTATGCAAAATAATTATTTTTTTTAAAAAGAAATTATTTTCATTTTGTTTTTTTTACGATATTATTTTATCATTAAGTTTCGATTTTTTTTAAATTTAGCTGCTTTATTGTTTTTTATAGAATTCAATGAGATTCAATTTTATCTACTCAAGATTACGATATATTTTTATTAGAGATTAGATTGATGGTTTCCCACAAATATTATGGATTAATATGAATGCTTATTATTTAGTTTGTGTTTTATTTTTAATAAACATATTATTTGTTCCAATTTTTCACACAAATAATATAGAAACTAAATTAACAAAAAAAAATATATATAGAAACTAGATGGGATCCTTTTCAATCTCGTCACTTTTCAACTTATTAAAAGCTGGCAACCGCCCAACCCCACCCCTCCTTATAATTAAAAATTATTTTATATATTTCAAGACCACCATTCTTTTTTTTTCTTCCTAAAATTCATTATTTTTAAGTTTTTTTTTTTAATCTGAAACCTTTATCCCCGCATCAATCATAAAATTCGCCATCTCTCCTATCTCCTCATCTAGGGTTCCTCGCTTCTCTTCGTCATCATCTCATTGCTTCCGTTCCCGGGGGCCGATATGGGTTTTTTTCCTAGGAAGCTCCAAGATTGCTCGTTCCTCTGATCGAGATCTATCGTAAACCTATTTTAATTTGTGACCTAGGTTTTCAGTATTTGAATTCCGATTGTTAGGTAGCTTTTATCGAGCGGGGTTGTTCTTTCCAGGCAAATTTCGTCTTGTTTTGTTTTTCTCAATCTGGATTTCTCCGATTTGCATCGTTTGTCTTAGTCTAGCTGCGGTTGATTAGGGTTTACAGACTGATTGGGTCCTTTTTAGTTTTCGGAACTCGGTTCTTTTGCGGGATTTGTTAGCGGTAGTGGCTATGGACGGGCTTGATAGTGGGAGCGGTGTCAAAAAAGCTCTCGGAACTGAGGATCTTAAGCAATTCGGAGACAATTCTACAGGTTCGATTTTCTTTCGAGATGGTTTGTTAATGACTTTCAATACGTTCGATTGCATAGCCTCTTTTTCCGAGAGGTGTAAAGAAGATGAGGGAGAATCTGGATGCTGGCTTGATGTGAAATTAAACTGTATTCGGGTTTATACAGTCGCTCATACTTTCTTGGAGTCTCTCAATTTCAATGGAGAATTCATGAATATTAAGACAAGTTTAAGAATTGCCTTGTTGATGAGGATGAGAATACTTGCTTTGGTGAAGTTTTGTGTTGCAGTATGTGTAAGAAGTTATGCATAAGAATCTAGACCTTTGTTGGACCTATATTACCGACTTAAAAGACGATCTTGTATTGTGGATGGAATATGAAATTAGAGTTATATGGTTCAGTGACTTCAGTCGTTTGATGTTTATCCTTGTAGAGATATGCTTTGTTCTGGTGCATGTTTGGAGGAAATTATCATATTTCATCATTCAAATTCCACTCATGAAGTATTGTCCCATGTGCTTTAGTTGTCACTAGATTTTCATATTTTCCCAGCTCATCTAATTGATATTTATTAGATGCAGGTGGTGCTGTATTTGATGCTTCTCAGTATGCATTCTTTGGGAATGATGTCGTCGAGGAGGTTGAGTTGGGTGGATTGGAAGATGAAGAGGATGAATCGCCAATAGATGGACAATATACGAAAGACTTTCTGTTTGATAAGGAAGAGGTTTACACCTCCCCCCTACCAACCCTTTCGAATGAGATGCAAAGACTTATGAGTTATGCGTTTAACTTATGAGTTTCCCCCCGATATTTTACAGGGTGAAGATTCTAGGACATTGTCTGGGGTTGATGATCTTGCTTCTACATTTTCCAAGGTTAGCCTGCTTTAACAATTAACATACTGTGGGTAAACTCATAAGTTAAAAGCATAATTCATAAGTCTTTGCCGTTCAGTGATTGTTGGCTAATATTTTAAGTTCTACATGACTACATAAAGCCATTGCAGTTATGCGTTTAATACTTTGAAATTCTGTTTGCTTGCTTGCTTGCTTGTAAACATTTGGTGAGTTTTTATCTTGTCTGATTTTAGCTTCAAATTAGATATTTTTTCACCATGTCTTGTTACCTGAGTATTTTTGTTCTCTATGTTGCAGTTGAATAGGGATGCCGATGGATTTGGGAACACAGGAACCATCACAGATAGTGGATCAAGACAAAGTGAGTTTTATATATAAATTTTAGTCTTTAAATAATGTGACACAATCCGTACAATGTCACAAGAATCGTTATTCAATATATATCTCGATCGATTTACATTGATTTTGTGGTATGTGCATCATAGCTTTGCTTAGTTTCTCACTGCCAGATTTTGTAAATTTCTAATTGCCACACCTGTTATATTATGGTACACTTGTATCTGATCTCTTATTTCTTTTTACCATGAAATTTACGATATCCAGTCCATTTTCTTTATCAAAGCGGTAGTTGTAGAATATCACATATATTGTCACCAAATTTAATGCATCTTTAAGATGTTCGAACGATCTTGCTGTAAGCTCTTAGTCTGAGGCTTTACAATTCAGTGAGTCATTGTTTCACCCAGTTTCTCTATGTTGCTTCCCAGATTCTTTTGTTGCTGAGTGGTCTCAAGGTCAAGGAGAGGATTATCCAAATTGGTACAGCCGACAGATATTGGACTCTGATGCTATGTCAGATAGCAAAGGTTGGGCAACACAGAATTTTTCTTCTCAGCATCTTGTTGAACAAAAAAACCTGCACAGAACAGCGTCTTATCCCGAGCCACAACATCAGCAGCATCAACCCCACCATCACCAACAGTTCTCCAGTGAACCAATTCTTGTTCCAAAGTCTTCTTACAGCTCATATCCTCGGCCAGGTGGCAGATCCCCAGAGCAGCACTTAGGACACCTGAATATACCATATCATTCCGGTGGGCTGCAAATGGGATCCTCACCAAACCTCCCCTCCTTTCCGAGTTCTCAGCCTCAATTGGCTGGCATGCATCACGGGTCACCACAGTTCGCAGCGAACATGTCTCAATTTCGTCCTGTTCTTCCTGTGAATGACCGCCCGCCATCTCAATGGATGAATCGGCAAAATATGTTTCCAGGGGATAGTTCTGGTATTCTGAATGATATGCCGCCGCGACAGCTACCTCAACAACAGTATCCTCAGCAAAATGGGTTGATGCGCCCACATATGATGCCTCAGCTGCAAGGCCCACAAAATAGGTTACCACATCCGATGCAGCCACCCCTCGGGCACTTACAGGGCATGCAGCCCCAGTTATTTAATTCTCATCTTTCTCGATCACCGTCTTTGGGCCAGTATGATACATTTCTTGGGATTGGTGACCTGAGAGATGGAAGGACAGGATCAGCTCATGGGAACAGGCAGAATATACGCTTCCACCAACAAGGTTTTGACAATATGGTTCAGAGGAGAGAGTTTGGGTGGCCACATTTTCGGTCGAAATATATGACCTCTGATGAAATAGAGAATATTCTACGAATGCAGCTTGCAGCTACTCATAGCAATGATCCTTATGTAGATGATTACTATCACCAGGCCCGCCTTGCAAAGAAATCTGCTGGGGCAAAGCTGAAGCATCATTTCTGTCCAAATCATTTGAGAGATCTTCCACCCCGTGCACGTGCTAACAATGAGCCCCATGCTTTTCTCCAGGTGGATGCTCTTGGAAGGGTTCCTTTCTCTTCAATACGTAGGCCTCGTCCCCTTCTTGAAGTGGACCCTCCAAATTCAAGCAACTCTGGTAATCTAGAGCAGAAAGATCCTGATAAGCCCCTTGAACAAGAACCCATGCTTGCAGCTAGGGTCACTATCGAGGACGGTCTCTGCCTCCTCCTCGATGTAGACGATATTGATCGTTACTTGGAGTTTAACCAATTTCAAGATGGTGGAAATCAGTTGAGACAACGGCGACAGGCTTTGCTGGAGGGTCTTGCAGCATCCCTTCAGCTGGTTGACCCGCTCGATAAGAATGGGCATAAAGGCGGGCTTTCCTCACAGGACAACTTTGTCTTTCTTAGGATTATTTCGCTTCCAAAGGGACGGAAGCTTCTTGCAAGATATCTTCAGCTTCTTTTCCCAGGCAGCGAGCTAATGCGAATAGTTTGCATGACCATTTTCCGTCATTTAAGGTCCTTGTTTGGTGTCCTCTCAGCAGATCGTGAAACAGCAGAAACCACAAACAAGCTCACAAAAATAATCGAGTTCTGTATTCACAGAATGGATCTTGGACCAGCAAGTGCCTGTCTGGCTGCGGTATCTTGTTCCTCAGAGCAGCCACCTCTTCGACCTCTAGGGAGCCCTGCCGGAGATGCCGCTTCCATAGTTCTGAAATCTACCCTTGACAGAGCTACCGAGCTTCTTCGAGCTAATAATTACAACAATTCAAGCATGGCTCTTTGGCGGGCTTCCTTTGATGAGTTCTTCAACCTTCTGATGAAGCATTGCGTGAGGAAATATGATGGAATCATGCAGGCCTTGAATTCACAACACTTTGCGAGCGAGATGTCTGAAGCCGCTGCACAAGCCATTGTCCGGGAAATGCCCATTGAACTTTTACGTGCGAGTTTCCCACACATCAGTGAGCAGCAAAAGAGGATACTCATGGAATTCCTCAAACAGTCTATGCTCGGGAGCTCGGATGCTGGAACTGACAGCCACCAGAAATCCGAGTCTTTCCTGAGTTGATATCCTACCAGATGGTGGATGAGTACTGAGAAGCTTAGGACCGCCTCTCACATGGATTAACAGATCGAGGCTCGTAAGGAACACACGACATCTTTTAAGGTATGTGGATCCGGATAAAGAAGAAGCTTTTTGCTGGTGTTTTGTCTGCAGGAATGGTAAAATGGATTGAGCTTTTTTGGCATCTAAAATTACTCTTAAACACGATGTTATTTTCAGCCTCGACTCTGTGAAAGAAAGAACCGTCAAATGGGATTTTTCTTCCACTGGACAGATTCTTCTTCTTGTCTGCCCGATTTTTGTAACAGGTCGGTTGCGACATTTTGTTCCAGCTTGGTCTATTTCCAGTGCCATCCGAAGATGAAGAACGTGTTGAAAGTGTTTTCGTAGTTGTTGGCCAAAGGTTTCGATTTTTGTCTGGAAACCCATCTCTCAGTTTGTGTTTTGGATGCTTCTTGGTCGTTCGGTTTTATGGTTTCTTCCTACAAAAAAAAGGACATTTTTCATTCTCTTGTTCTTTTTATATCTTGTTTACTCCTTTTTAGCACTTATGACGATGTATGATTAAGGTATGCGCATTGAAGTAAATGCCTTTGTGATACGGATCTTGTCCTCTCTCGGCGTTCCAATTTGGTTTGAGTTGTGTAATTGCACTTGAAGTATCAAAGCTAAGGTGTGATGGCCTTTGAAAATCAAATAGTCTCTAATACAACTCAACACTGAACACTGACTTCATTCACCTGCATCGTGTAGCGAGAGATCGATGTGGGCTTATGAGGTTTCACTTTCAGAGACTTACACTGAAAACCAAAAAGATGGAACCTGGAACTGGAAATAGAAATCGCTCTTCTAGTAGAAGAATATGTTGGCAGTAACATGTTCATAGAGCTTGAAAGTCTGAAACTTTAAGACAAACCCACTAGGGTTACCGGAAACAAAACGGTCTATGGATCCCAAAACCAGACCTAAAACCTAGAACATGGACTCTGGGCAAGTCACAGATGCATGGTCAAGGCCTTCTCTACTTGGATCTCTGTCTCATCTTCCTCCTCTTCCTCTTAAGCCTCCTCATACGCTTCTTCTTCCACTGCAAATGACACGAGAGGCAACGATTAGTCACACAGCACAGATCCTCCGGAAGCAGTTGGAATATTAACATTCATCAGAATATGGCAACTGATTCGAACAAAAAGGGGAAATTTATCATTCCGTTTCGGAATCAAAGCAACAAATGTGTCTAGAATCAAAGCAAGAAAGCTAGCAACTCGAGAAAATGCCGAGTGGGACAAGATCATCGGCCATAATAATCTCTGTGAACTAAATGCCAAATGACTATAACTCCACATTCCAACCCTTAAGCCCATAATAGAACCCTAATTACAAATTCGCATCCCCACCCGTAAGGCTGATCAAAGAGATAGCTCTAACGCAGACATTCATCACCGATAAACTATAAGCAACAATCCCAAATCAAATCAAAGCAATTGCAATGCCTCGCCTAGCTGTGGAAGTTCAATACACAAGAAGAGATATCGAAAATCGACAGAATTCTACTCGAATTCCAAAATCACACAAACCCTAAAGATCCAAAACGCAGTCAATCGTAAACGATCGAGAAGTCGTAGGGTAACGACAAGGATTACCTTGGCTCGCATCTTCTCTCAGAATAAAATCTCTTCAGATGTACCGCTGAAAGGGTGAACGGAAGAAGCCTTGCTAAGTATTTATAGACCTTCGGATTCTGGTGGTCGAGAAGAAAACCCTAATCCTTGAGGGCAAATAATAAAATAACTTCATCTTGTCAGGGTATATTGGTCATTATACCTCTCGGGTCGTTTGTTTATTCGTGCTAAAACCGTAAAACGGATTAATTGCCATTTCTACCCCCACATTTTCATAGCATCCTTAATTAATTTTCCCTAATCTTAAAAATTATCCAGAAACCCCTAGTTTGAAGAACACACCTCCAAACTTCTCCATTCAATTTCTGGTTTGTAAAAAAATATTCTTAGGATTGTATGATAATACATTTTTTTATGTTTTTTTGATAAATACATTTTTTTTTTATGTTACATGCATATATCTGAATGTTTGTGTTCAGTGCCACGTGGTCTACTACATAGTTGACTCAGGAAGATCTTCTAGGGTTCGAGTTTGCAATTAGAAACTGGGAAACTGACATGCGGTATCTAATCTTGATCTATAATCACAATGCAAGTATATACGTGATATATGTGCGTTGTGCATGTATATATATACACACACACATTAGAGACGTACGGAACGGACTATAGGGTTTGTCGGTCTTGATCTTCTTGCCACCGCTAGCCACGATGGTGGAGGAGGAGGAGCGAGAAGTTGTTTTCAGTGACGGCAACCCTCTCGCCGCCGTTGATGCCATCACCGTCGACGCCATGTCTGCCTTCTCTGGTCTCTCTCTCCCCTATTCTCTTCAGACCTCCAAATATCAAGACCTTTTGTTTATGGTTGCCACGTGTAGGATTTTGAATGGCTATCATGTGGATATCTTTCTTAGGATCTTCTCCACCTCACCTAGACAAAACCCTCTCCCCTGTTCTACGCTTGACACGTGGAAAAATTCTAAAATATTAGAATCCGAATCTTGAGGCGTCAAATAAAATAATCATAATATTTTTTTAATACGTTTTGCTATTACATTAAAGATAATAAACTTAATCAGCATTTGAATATTAATTTTAAGACTAATAGTTACAAAAGAAAATCAAAATTTAATATGATCCCAATCATTTTATATTGAAAAAAAACGCAGAGAGAGAGAGAGAGAGAGAGAGAGAGAATTTCGTGGATATTGAAAAGGGCTACGATGCAAATAAGAAAGTTTATTGATGAATACTTTGGATTTTAGGTTAACTAATCCTTCCTGCAATTTGGAATATCACATTTTTTAATAATATTCAATTGTGACCCGTAAAAAGTTTATCTTTTCAAAAAAGCCCCACTAGCTCGTCCGATATGGATACACAGACTCCCTCCCCTCGAAAAGATGAAGGGGTCTTTTTGACCACGCGGACACGAAGGAAAAAATCTGAGTTTATTTAATGTGATACATCACTTCGGCTCATGCACTTGTTGTGAGTTTTGAAAACAAAATTATAAAAATAATAATAATAATAATCAATGGTACACATGGCATCCGTTTGTTGATAATTGCAATACAACTATTTGGTTTTCGATTATTGTACAAACAGATGGATCAAATCTGCCATTCGCGCATAGATTTTAAAATAAAGAGTGGTTGGATTATTTTTTAAATTTTTATTTGAAAAAAGTTACGTCTCTGTGAATTAAAGAAAAATATATGTATTTTATTTAAAAGAATTCTTTTCCATTTAATTTTTTTTTTATTTTAATATTTAATTCAAATTCGGATTACTAGTTTGATTTTAAAAAATTTATATTCAATGGACTTTGAATATAAAATATGTTTTGAATCTAATTCATGATATGATTGTGATATTTCCAACTCTAATTTTGATGTAAATGAAGCTACATTGCAGGAAAGTTATGAATTTCTTGACTACAGGAAAAACAAAAAATAATTATTATTTAGGGAAATTAAAATAAAGAAATTCTAAAATTTGTGCAAAACACTAAACGAACATAAGCTTTGACCTTGGTAATTAAATAGTATGATGATAAAAACTTGAATTCAGGAAGTTCAGATAATTCATAAATTACAAAAACGTCGCCAAAAAAAAAAACCAAGGCATTTTGAACAGGACAACAAGTACAACTGGAATCCCAAGGCTGTTCGTACGAGAAACATGAGAGAGAGAGGACGAAGGAAGCTGATGTGCTGATGTATGCTTACGTTTTGACCCGTTGACATTTTCCCGCCGCCATACCAAGATCTTCCTCCTCTTCATATTCAACGAACCCGTATCTGCAAATCACATACACACGGGGAGAGAGAGAGAGAGAGAGAGAGAGAGAGAGAGAGAGATTTAATCGCAGAAAGGAGACTTCTTTGAAGTTAGCGCACGTTAAAGCCTGCGATTTTCGTCTCTCTGCTGTTATCTGTGTTTCTCTGCAGGTGGGGTTTCTCTCGGTCTTGGTGGTCTTCGTTTCGTCTGGGCTGGGGTTCTAGCTTCTCTTACAGATTTTCAAAAGACCCATGTCTGAAATCTGACATAAAGTCTCTGACTTTTTTTTACCTTCTGTTGTGAATTTTGGTATTGCTTCATCTGTTCCTGCTTGTGGGTTGGTTGGTCTCCATGTCTAGTTTTCTGGGTTGAGGTAGAGATTCCATGACATAGATACTTTGACGATTCGATCAGTTATGTTGCCATTATCAAAGAGGTTTGAGATTCGTTTCGGAATGTGAAATTTGGCGTCGAAATACAGTTTCATGCCTTCTTGCTGGCCTCTGCATTTTCATTTTATCGATCTCGAACGCAGAAGAAGCTGTGAATTTCCTTTTCCAAATGTTGTTCTTGAAGTTTCAGCTTCCTAAATGCTGTTTACTTGCCACTTTCTTGACTTCCTTTTTTGTGGCCATGAACTTCCGTGTATAATCTGCTCTGATATGAGTTTCGATCATACCGTTTTTCGACAGGCATTGATATGGGTATGGGCTGCTTCTCATTCTTCAACCGTAAAAGGGACGACATGTCAGAAGCCGATGGAGGAAAGATCTCTAATAGTTTCTGCAATATGTTTACCTCCTCTTACTGCAGTCAATAAACCTGACATTCCGACCGTTGTTTCCTGTTTATGTCTTATTGGTGCTATATCTTCCTCTGGCTTCTGCTGATTCAGTGTAACATCCAACAGAAATCACAGTCGCCGAGCCACTCAATGTCAAAATCTACTCCTATAAAGAGCTACGACATGCCACCGACAATTTCAGCGTGGAAAACAAGATCGGAGAAGGCGGATTCGGGTCAGTATACAAGGTAAGAAGAAACCAAGATACACTAATTGCCCTTCTGGCGTTTTCTCCTTCTTTTAACTCGCGTGGAAACTTCAGGGCCGGCTCAAAGACGGGAAGATCGCCGCCATAAAGGTCCTGTCAACTGAATCAAGACAAGGTGTGAGAGAGTTCTTGACAGAGATCAATGTCATATCTGAAATACAACATGAGAATCTGGTTGAGTTATATGGGTGTTGTGTGGAGGGGAACCACAGAATTCTTGTTTACAACTATCTCGAGAACAACAGCCTCGACAAGACCCTTCTCGGTTAGTTCCTTGCCACTCTCTGTCTCGTCCATTTTCCCCTGTTTCATTCTGTTTCTTGCGGGTCTGTAATATTCTTCTAACCGAGCGAAAATTTCAGCTGGAGGTTACAGTTGGAATGGTATGCAGTTTGATTGGAGAACTCGGGTTAGGATCTGCATCGGGATTGCAAAGGGTCTCGCCTTCCTTCACGAGGAAGTACGACCATACGTTGTCCACAGGGACATCAAAGCGAGCAATATTCTCCTTGACAGAGACTTGTCTCCAAAGATCTCTGATTTCGGGTTAGCGAGGCTCATTCCGCCCAACATGACTCATGTCAGCACCCGTGTTGCGGGAACGATGTGAGCTTTCAGACATTACCCTTCTCGGTTTTATACATTGATTTGAAAGCTCTTTCATGGTTGACAGATCTAAAAGCACAAGGTTTTTTTTCTCTGCATATTTCTCAGAGGGTATCTAGCACCAGAGTACGCGATCCGGGGACAGCTGACAAGAAAGGCGGATATTTACAGCTTCGGAGTTCTGATCATGGAGATAGTCAGTGGAAGATCCAACAAGAATTCACGGTTGCCTGCTGAATATCAAATTCTTCTAGCAAGAGTAAGCGCTCATGCTTTCTTTGAAAAACCATTTTCTTGATTAAACCCGATACAAAACAAGAAAAACTGAAAAAACTCTCAAAGGCATTTACAATCACATCTTTCAGCATAAGCCAACGGTATGTTCACTGTCTTTTCCACAGGCTTGGGAACTGTACGAGCGGAACGAACTGGTGGATCTGGTGGATTCTGCATTAAACGGGGATTTCGACGTGGAAGAAGCTTGTCGGTTCCTGAAAGTAGGGCTCTTGTGCACACAAGACAGTCCCAAGCTGCGACCATGGATGTCTTCGGTGGTTAAGTTGCTTACGGGTCGGAGAGAGATAGATGACAGCAAGATTACACGACCTGGATTGATGTCAGATTTCATGAACGCGCAAGGGAGAGGAACCGAGACAAGAAAACCAGACAGCATCACCAACCCGTCCTCATTGTCCAACGCCTCGTCGAGCTCGGGGACCCGAGATGGCTCTAATGTGTTTTTATTATCTGGGACTGCAGTTGCAAGTGCTGATACTGCCTTCCTAACCGTTTAGAGAGGAACCCTGCTTGATCATAAACCCTAATCTTGAATCTGGTGTAGATGTTTGGAAGAAATGTTTGATGTTTCTATGCGTATCTTATTCCTGGAAAACAAAGCCATGGATTCAGGAGAGGCTTCGAGGGTTTAGTGTTTGCTGGTTCAAGTTACTTGCATCAAAAGCCATGTGTTCAATACGGCGGCTTCTGGTCTCTTCTATGAAAAAGTCGAGACGCAGATAGAATTTGCGTCTGAAAAACATGTTGGCGCTTTGGAAGCGTTTGGCTCTTTCTTCTCCTTAAATAGAATTTGCGGACTTTCTATGCTTTTATTACAATCTTTTTCCTCTGTCTTTACAATAAGTGAGGTGGACAATCGCGATTGGATCGGAATTTTAGCCGGAAACGGTTTATTCGGTATTCTAAAAGTTATACCAAATTAGTATCGTATGTTATTTATTTTGGTTCGGTTTCGGTTTTTGTTAAAAAATATTTAGATTATTTTAATAAAATTTCGTTTTTTCAGAAATTTTATAAAATTCGGTTCGATTCGATTCCGGAAAATTTGGTTTTATAAAAATCATACTGTTCGAAATTTTTTTATATAATACAGTTCAAGAAAAATATCGAAATATTTGATTCGATACGATTCGGTTCCAAAGAATCGAAACGGCCATAGCTAGCTAACAAGAAGGTTGCAACATTTTTCGATGTGATTGGAAAATGTATGGGGAAAGGAACGGAAGTGCAAGTTGGTCAAACAAGATGGAGAAAAAACGAGGGTAAATCTGTAAATAGAGAGAGTTTTGATCGGAACGGACCGGAACATATCTATTATCTCCACCTTGTCTCAATTAACTTGGACAAAAATATTGTTTACATAAAAATATATATTTATTTATGTTTTATTTCGATCCTAAGAAATCCCTAAAAAGTTTTTTAAAAAAAAAACAAATCCCTAAATCAAGAACTCGGAGCCCAGAAATCCTTCCGAATTTGAAATCCGTCGGCAATTGTTTTTTCATCTTCTTTCGTATTTTGGTAACTCTTCCCAGATTTGTCAACCTGCCTGTTCGATCCCAACCTTTGTCTTGTGTTCTTTTTTTCTCTCTCACCCGGGTCGCGTGAGTTCGCACGTGCGACATCGGCTGTTCTCCGACTCCGCTGCCCTTTCTTCGTCATCTCGTGCAATCGATCATCGTAATCTGCATCAGAGATTCGTATCTGTGACTTAGTGAAGGCGGAATTTCTCTGGGTTCTGCTCTTTTATGCGAAAGGTTGTTCCTTTGCATGCCTTCTCCTTGGTTGGAGGTGAATCCTAGGGTTTTTTTTGGGGCTTTTTGTTTGGTCGATTCCAATTTACTTGGACTAACCTGGGGTTGTTTTTCTATTGTTATTCTTGTTTCGTGCTTTGGTTTTTCCTTTGATTTTGTTGATTTTGCTTCAGGGTTTAGTAGCTTTGATCATAGTCTGACTTGATTAAGACCAAATTCTGATGGCGTAGAATTGTTTTGCAGGATTGTTTGGGGCTTTGTTAAGTGTATGTGCTAAGTTCGTGCTGCTATACTGATAGCATCAGAAGAGTAATTGAGAGCAGTGAGATGAGCTTTGGGTGTAGCGACTGTTCGAGGACAGCAAAGTTATGCAGTGCTTGTTAGTGTTAGTCACAGGAAGGAATAGGAGAAGAAGACGGACATTGAAGAGGTAATATGAATGTTCAGGCTCATATGTCGGGGCAGATATCTGGGCAGGTTCCGAACCAGGGGACAATGACCCAGCAGAACGGGAACTCCCAAATGCAGAATTTAGTTGGAGGTTCTGCTCCTACTGGTGCTGGTGTAGGGCCTGGACGCAGCACTGTCATTCCCATGGACCATGAAATTTTGAAACTTAGACAGTACATGCGAAGCAAAATGTAAGTGTTCATCTTTCTATCTATGTATCTACATCTTTGCTATGTTTCAAACCATGCTATGTCTATTAAGAGAAGTTGCATTGGCTTTCATGTTGCAAGCCTGATTTTTACCATCAGCTATGATCAAGTTATGTCACCAAGATGTGGGTTGGGAACTTGGGAGCAAGTTCCTGGTTTTTTTAGCAGCATACCGGTTGTGTTTCCAAAAATATGATTGATCCAAATACTATTTGGAGTTCATACTTCTGAAATTAAATTTGTTTGTATCCTAGCATAATCATATTGGTATTTTTTTCATTGGCTTTTTGTTTGTATTGTTTAACTCTCTCTGGGAGTATGGTTTGGAGTCAGAGTTTCTGAATAGATGTTTCACATGGGACTGTTGCTAATTGAATTCCTCGTTCTTTTGTTCTTCGTAGCTTCAACATTTTACAGCAACGGCAGCCATCTCCAGCAGATGATGCATCAAAGGCAAAGTATATGGATGTTGCTAGACGCCTAGAGGAGGGCCTTTTTAAAATGGCTGTCACTAAGGTATTTCAAAAGATTCAATTGTTCTAGGAAAAGTTACTCAGGTAGGCTTTAGCGTATAGGACTTGACGTCTGTTGTAGAAGGACAAGATCGGTTGATGCTTTTTGTTCTATTGCTTCTAAATTCATTTCGCTGGCTCCTGTCTCTAGATGTATCTTTTTTACACGTGGAACTTTATGATACCTAATGCAGGAGGATTACATGAACCCACAAACAATAGAATCTCGGCTGACAAGCCTAATCAGAGGCAGGCAGTTGAATAACTACAATCAGCGACATGCTAATTCTTCTTCCTCTGTTGCAACGATGATACCTACTCCTGGATTACCACACAGTGGGGGGAATCCAAGTATGATGGTTACTTCATCCGTAGATACCACCTTGGCTGGCAATAATAACATCACAACATCAGCTTTGAACAATGGAAGTCTATTATCTGCAAGCGGCATGCACAGAGGTTTTTCAGTGAACCTTATCTTATATACTGGTTCTAAGAGTTCTTTCTGTATGTTCATAATACCACAACTTCTCAACTGTAGGAAATCTATCTAATGGATACCAGCAGTCATCAGGCAACTTCGCTCTTGGTACTGGTGGGAACATGGCATCCATGGGTGTGCAAAGAATGCCTAGCCAGATGATTCCTACTCCAGGATTTGTAAACAGCAATGGTCATAACAATGGCAACAGTAATAGCCAGCCGTACATGAGTGTTGAAACTTCCAACAGCAATGGTGGGTTTTCTGCTGTTGAGCCTACAATGGTACCTCCACCGCAGCAGCAACAAAGACAACAGATTGGTAGCCAAATGGGTGCTGGGTTTAGGCCGAGCATGCAACAAAAACCACCTGGCGTGGCGAATAGCTCCTTGAATGGTGGCATAGGGATGAATTCGAAAAGTGTAGATTCAGTTCTGTCTTTCCCCAACTCCCCCAGAAATTTGCATCAGGGTTTTGATAACCTTCAACATTCGGGAATGCATGGTAATTTCTTCCTCGTTGTATCCAGTTTTGTCTTGTCCAGTTTTTAGATGCATAGTAATTTCTTGCACTCGTGCAATATTCAATAAGTGTGGAACAAATCGAACAGAATCTTGATTGCACATATTTTTAGGTGATGGATATGGCATAACCAATCCTGAACCTTTTGGATCTGGAAATTTCTATGGAGCTGTAGCATCTGCCGGGACAATGACAACCACTCAGAACATCAATACATCAACTTCGCAGTCTGTGTCTACAACCAATTCTTCCCTGGTAAGTAATCAGTCCAATTCTCTAGGTATTCAACAATGTTCACAATTGAAACATCGGTCAATTGGTCAGTTTGAGAAAAACGGTTTCCAATCTTCTCTCCCTCTAATAGAACATTTTCCGCAGCCGCGTCAACAGCAACAATTTCATCACCAGCCAAATCGATTTCAGCAACAGTCTAATCAGTTTCAACAGCAGCAATTTCTTCATCAACGCCAACTGAAGCAGCAGAGCCAGCAGCAACAAAGGTTTACGAGCAATGATGTTTCTGGGCAGCGTCACATGGCTTCTGACCGGGTTACTCATGTGAAACATGAACCTGGGATGGAGAACCAGAGTGAAGTTATGCACTCCCAAGCATCTGAGCAATTGCAATTATCTCAGTTCCAGAATCAGTTTCAGAACTCTGTGGAAGAGCGTCGACAGTT